GTGGGCTGGTTTTATTGTTTTCGTTGGCGCGCATCTACGCACCCGTCATGAATTTCACTCATGTTGCTTTCAGTGACTACGACAACTGTTTATCTTTTTTCCACCTAATTGCCACCTAAGAAAACCCTCTTTCTTCCTAGTCAAGATTTACAAATCAATCTCTCTGACTCATAGTCTTCACTAGAATCATCATGGTTAACTTGTCTCTAATCGCTACAGTTGCTTTGGCAGCTGGCGCCGAGGTGCCTTCCTTTACAATGAACTCGGTGTCTTAACGCCCCTCGAAGGCACAAAGTAGGCGCTCCTGGCGATCCTACCAGCTCCAAGGGCAAGGCTACTAAGAGTAGAAAGGGACACTGAGGGTGTGGTACCCGGGAACTTGCCTTTTCCCGTGTACAAAGACCACCAGCTTCTCCTAAGGCCGGCAGAATGGCTACTGATACTCGTATGATGCAGACGGAATCTACATTTCGCCCCAAGGATACGTCAAATTCGCCCACTAATTCAACAGAATCGTTGTCGAAAGCAAGGACCAATTTGTTGGTTCGAACTATTGGCTGAACAAAGATGCTTCGTGCTGCCTGCCATACGAGGTTTGGACCAACATCTACGACGTAATCGCATACCAACACTCGAGCAGAAAGGAAATAGCTTTGTGGTGGATTTCAAAGGACGATCTTCGCTAGCTTCAACCGTCGCGACATGTTTGAATGTGCATGAGAAAGGTATTAAATACAATGCGTGCTGTAGTCTTATAGTCAAAGTCCGGTTGGCATTTTGAGCCATTAACATCATTCTGTTGTCAATGTCTGAGAGAAGGAGCTCCATGAGTCTTAATTCGATAAATAAGCCAATTTCACATAGTTTACCACGTTTCTCTTAAACCTTAGTTCAATGGATGATGCTACAAGTTGTTCAACAAGAAACAGACACTAAGATACTTGCGACACACAGTATTTACAAACGTTATGCCACTTTCTCTCTTCCTCTTCTAACGACAGCGAGTATTTGAGATGAATTTAGACACAGGTGCGGCCAGAAAGCTGACACTGTTGCCAATGGAATAGACATCATTGACTTTCTAACTTCTGTCCACATAAGATATACTTAGCAAGTTATCTTGGGTCCAATTAAACGGGGTCTTTTCCTCGGTGATAAATCATGAAGACTCCTGTTAGCTGCACCAAATGTATTGCGTAACTACAGAGAAGAAGCCTGTTGAAGCTTCTGACTGACCTCAAAGCGTATTGAAGAGCGTCAACCTTCGATAGTTACAAGACCCAGAAAATGCACTCAGCTGATTTTAACCAGAGATCTACATTCTTATACAATCAAGTCTTGAGCTAATAGCCTATGATCGGCATCTAATAAACCATACGTCTTTGTACAAAGATTGCTGACCCACGAATTCAGCCACCATTGACGGGGCAACTGTTGAAGGAGTTTACAAAAATACACGAATATGACCAAAGCGTTTTGTCTGGTCTCTCGTAACAATGGGAGGAAATCATCAGCAACTGACGCGACCCAAATGAACAGATCAGTGACTTCCTGCGGTTCCACACTCTCGTAAAAGGCTCTGTATGATTTATCAAGCTCATCGATAGCGTGCTTATAGATAGTCAAGAGTCTATTATCCTTCTCCAAAATAATGACTTTGGCTTTAAGATCGGCAAGATGGGTATGATAGTACGGCATTTCACGAGCTTGTAAGTGTGTCATCATCCGGGTGATAATCGGTGAAGCTAGGAGCGACCGTCCTGCGTCACCCACGAAGTATTGGGTTCCACGGAATAGGATGATCCAGTCAGGTGACTGATTTACACCGGTCAGGGGCGTATCTTGTAAATACTGGGAGTTGGCTAGTACTGCCGGTAGAACGAAAGTTAGTTTGTGGTAATTACATACACTTGATTCGACTCCCATACCGATGTAGATAGTCAGAACTGAGAAGATGAATAGCGGGGCCTTATCCCTGCCCTCTGACGTTTCCATCAACATCATGGCTGCTCGAGATGACTGTTCTTGATGAACTATTGACTTTTCCAGTAAGTCGTCTCTTCTCTCCGGGCTCAGGTGTGCAAGATGAAGTGCCGACAGGGAGAGGATACTTCGCATAACGTAGTTGTTTTCGAGACCCAGTTTAACTGCGTTTACACTCCAGAAGACATGCAAAAGCGAGTCTTGTGATAAGGTTCGGGCGGTAAAGTTGCAGTAATGATGTAGTAGTTCGAGATCAAGGAAGTTCAGTTGTTCTGTATGTTGTGGCGTGTGAATTATTTGGTTCAACGGTGGAGACGAAAGGAAGCCGCATGGAGTTCTGTATTTTATGCAGTTCTTGCATGCTGGCCGCTGTTCGTCGCACTAGGGTAGCAAGTTAGCTAACACATATTTCAACAACGGAATTTTACAGAACCATCTTTCATCCCTTGGATCAATTCCTAAGAGCTTTAGAATGTTGCATGATCCTGTATTTTACTAACTTTAATCTTCCTTTCTTTGCAAGTCTTGCAGCCGGTCCGTGACTTTCGACGAGACTGCCCAGATGGAACTGAATGCATGGTTCGTATCGGGATTGGTCTGAAAGTGTTAAGAAGATGCGTGTGAAGTACCGGTAAATTCAATGTAATTAAGTGGGCGCAGTTAAGATATTATACTTGCAGTCAGGAAACCTGAGTCTTGGTTGGGCCTTTGGTTTTAAAGTTAAGGAGTGTGGGGTTTGCCATCAATATTGATATGAACAGAAGGGCGTAACATTTGAGACCCTCAAGCTCTCGGTTCTTTGACCTCACTCGTACTTTTCGAAACTTTAGGGTTTGTTGTTACGCTTTGCTGTTCAGTGGCATCCGTTGACTCATGTACGCTGTTGGGCATCAACGGGAAATAAGATCTCCCTTCCCACCATGGAAATTTTGTACAGGTCATTATTTGCATCAAATTCCACACACCTACGTCAAGAAAGTTCCTGCGCCATTTTGACAACCTGAAGTAAAGAAAAAATCAGATCACAAGCCTAGGTTGAATGGTAGACCAATCAGATGACGATCATTTTGAAAAGAGATTGGACCACCGGCTTACACCTAGGAAAGGGTCCAAACTAGTTTCACGCATTATCGTTATTTACTGTAAGCGATGTTCGCGGAGGCCGTGCCTTGCGCACCCCGTCTTGTCAGTGGAACCCACTGCCTCATCCCTGCACTCTACTCCATCACTCACTTAGTGCATTGTGCTCAACTTTTTAGCCAAGAGGGCGACTGCGGCAGGCAGTTACGTACATAGTATACATGGCAATCCTAGGCAGCTGGTCGAACGGGCGCAGGGCCCTTGCAGTGGCCCGTATCGATCTCTTGAGGCTTAGCCTCGCCCGAGCAGCCAATCTGGCCAGTTGTATCCTTGGAGCGCCGCCGGGCTGCTGTGTAGCTACGCGAGTTTGCCCATCGAATGTTATCCCTTGGCAATGGGTTGTGTCGTATAGAAAAGCATCAGATGGATGGTTTCCGGAAGCGGAAGCCATCGATAAAGACACTGGAGGGCAAGCCAATCAACAGCTCTCGAGTCTCGGCGTTAACAGAAGTTGTTATGCAGCGTACTAGGACCTCTTTGATGGTTCAATTTCAAAGGAAATATGGATGAGATTGGAATTATGGGGGTGGTAACGTCAGTTTTTTCAACTCTACCAATCCTGGAATCCCTCGCAGTCATGCCTACTTTCACCATGCAAACCTGATTTTCTTCCATTTTCAAGCACCATGAAGTTGTCTCTTTGCAGTCTCCTTGTCCGACTTGTGAGAAGGGGATGAACCGAGAACCACAGTATCTAGGCGTCAACTTCAAGATATCTAGGTTCAATCAAATAGTCCTCTGTAAACCCTTATGTTGTTTTGATCCACAACGCCATTCAAGTGCTTTACGCTCTTCTCTACTGTCTTAAGCAGACCCATCTAGATGGTCTGACGCGTGACTGTTGATTCCGTTTTGATGTTTGGTCGGTTCAAAATTTTCCCATATTGATTAGCACTGCGAGCATTTCACTCAGTCTAGCAGAACTATCCTCATGCATACTTCCTAGCCCAGGAGAGTCGGCTTTGATGTCACGCACTCATTAATATGTCATGGGCATAGATAGCAGACAAGCTACAGCTTCTCCCTCCTCTTAAAACAATGCTCAGCTGCAACCTCAATGACATCATGGCCACTACGCTGCGAAGCTTGAACGTTTCGATGGTAGCATAAACCGCTTTCCTTAAAACTAAGTAAATATTCTGTAATAGCATGAGTGCTGTTGCAACGCTAGGATAAGGCTCTTTGTGCAGTTGATTGATGTAACACACGTCTTGTGTATATAGTAACGGACAATACTCAACATGAAATAGGCCTGTTAGTATTTGGTGGTAATTTGACATGGAATTTAATGTCAATGCTGGTTGTTTTCATAATGCGATATACTTTCCCTTTCCTGTTGAATCACAGTCTACGCATCGAGGCGCAGACAGGGCTACAGATCGAGTGAGTTCGAGCAAGGGCCTCACAGTTTGTTTGACAGAGGTAACGGGCTTTTTAAAGTCCTTTCTAGTCCGAAGTCGGCCCAGCCTACAAAGTCTTTTCACAGTCATAATCCGGTAGGAGGTTCGATGTTACCGAAAGCTGGAAATCACCAACACGGCCAGGGTTTAATCAACATCGTATGCGGCATCTGCTCAGGACCCCCGTGATTCTAGGGCCGATCAAACCACAGTGGATTGTGCCCGCGCCAAGTCTGACTTTTGAGCCACCAAAGCGGGGCCCGCGGCCGCCGCTATTCCCTTTTCATCCATCACAGACGCCTGAATTCTCCAGAATTTGCCAACGTCGGTTTCCGCAGTCTTGTTGACACCCAGCTCACCGAGTACATAACCCTGACAGCATGCCGATTTACTTAGAGAATCAGATCATTCCACCACTTTATCTTTGCGTACTCTATTTACCAAGATAACTGCCCACAAAGAATAACTCCTCGAACAATGGCTGGGTTTTCCCCAATCGCGGCCATGGTTGTCATGGCCGCTATGGCTTTGCGTTTTGTTTACATCCGACTGTTGCCGAAGCCTATTGCTGGGATACCTCACAACCAAGACTCGGCCACGCGACTCCTGGGAGACGCCCGATACTTCGAAGAAATCATTGAAGCCGGTGACTTCTGGGTCAAATTCTTGACTGATCTACTTGCAAGGCACAGAACCCCGATCGCACAGTTTTTCCCGGGACCATTTGCAGCCGCTACCGTGGTTATCGGCGATTACCGCGAGGCCCGCGACTTAATGGCAAAGCGAAGCAAGGAACTGGGCAGGGGTTACAGCAACAATGCTGTGTGGCATGGCGTTCTTCCCGAGCATTTCATTGCTATGGACGATTTCCACCCCTCTTTCAAGGACGCTAGGTTCCTAACCAAGGATCTGATGACGCCGAGCTTCTTGCATGAGGTAAGGGAAACCAACCTAGATCATTCATTCCGGCTCAAAACAGATAATTGATGTGAACCAGGTATCTGCGCTAGCTTCCTACAAAGCAGTTAAGAACTTCATCAAGCTGTGGAAGGTCAAAGCTACCATGGCTAAGGGGTTGCCTTTTGATGCAGTCGAAGATTTGGAAGGGTTTACGTACGACATCATGATGACAGCCGCTTTTGGGATACCAGAAGAAGAAGGACACACGACAGAACGGCTACGAGCAGTTCAGTCAACAAAGGATGCGAATGCTTGTGGAGATGGACCCTTGCAAGTCGCTGAGTTTCAACCCATCATGAAGCCGGCGCTTCTTACAGCCCTCCATACGTTAAACGCTCAAATTGCTGGCGCTTTCGACTCAACAATTCCAAAGTTGTATTATTTTATTAACAATCTCCGCCCTTCCGTCCGCCACGCGTTCCGGGCTAAGCGGTCAGCTATTCAGCACCACATCAACCGCTCAGTCGAAAAACTAGCGCATAGCGGCTCAAAACAAGATTTTGCGTCTGCGGTGGATTACGTCGTCTACCGTGAGAAGTCAGCCGCTGAAAGTGCTGGGCGACGACCTACCTTTGACTCTTTACGGATGAGCGATATGCTATGGGGATATCTGGTCGGCGGGCAAGATTCAACTCACAGTACATTGTGCTTTGCTATGAAATACCTGGGAGCGAACCAAGATGCGCAGGCTAAGCTGCGTGAGTTGCTGCGACTTGCCTACCCTACAGCAAACGAACAACAGCGCGAGCCGACCATCGAAGAGATCATCAAGACACAGGTTCCATTCCTGGATGCCTTCATCGAAGAGACCCTCCGCATGTGTAGCCCGGCTAGTGCCATCTTGAAGGAGGCTCTGTGCGACATGACGGTGCTAGGCCATGTTATTCCGAAGGGCACTCAGATCATGTTCTTGTTAACAGGTCCTACCCTAACTGAGGCAGGTGTGAGCTGGAAGGGTATGGAACACGACGAGACATCGCAGAAGGTGCCTAGCGAAGGCATCAATGATTGGTCTCTCAGCCGATTCCCGCCTCAAGAGTTTCATGCAGAACGATGGCTTCAGACCAACGATGACGGAGAGACCAACTTCAATAAGAATGCTGGGCCGTTTATAAGTTTCAGTAGCGGGCCTAGAGGATGCTGGGGCAAGAGACTCGCTTACATGGAGCTCAAACTGATTATTACGTTGCTGATCTGGAACTTAGAGTTTTCACAGCTTCCTGCTGAGTTGGAGGATAATGGCCTCGTCGAGGGAATTTTCACGAAGCCCAAGTCTTGTTTGGTGAAACTCAAGAGCATCTCGGATACTGATTGACATTGACGTAGCCCATAGTTGAGGAACAGGACCTGATTCGCGAAAACCCCAAAGTAAAAGTTTCCAGTATCACCTATGATCTCGCAGTTCACACACAGGACAGATTACGGGCTAGAATAGATTGGTAGAATTACTTATAGATGAACGACCGCAGCTAGGCAGGTTTGGCATATAAGTGTTGATTGATGAGCTGATTGAAAATGATAGGGACACAGTGGGCATCATGGGTCTTACCACGAAATGCATTGAATCCACAGTCGATGGGGAGGTACCCAGCCCGATGGAAGTAAATTAAAAAAACAAGAATTAAGGAAGAGCTGGTAGAGACTGACTTTCTTTTTATACCCCTTTCTTTTCCCTCTCTCTGAATGCATGAGATGTCTTTTGTTGCGATAAGTGCGTCAAGGAAGAGATGCCTCTGACCCATGAATCCTTAACGCTCTTACCATTAGACATAACATGGAGTACAAATCTGTAGTCAAAGATGTCCAGCGGTCCCTTAGAAGTAACCCAACTACCCATGCTTACTTGATTCGGACCTGGCTTCTCTGCGTATTTTCAATACTAAAACCACAGGCTTACTTAACTGTCTAAGCCAGTCCCCGCAATGACTGAAAACCCGCATCGACCGTTCGTGCCATTTCCATCATCTCCCCTGCTTTGTCACCATTCAACCCAGCTGATATCCCTCGATAGCGATGTTACTCTTTGCGTTGATTTTCATTGCTGATTCGATCGCAGTCTCCGGAAATCGTTCCTGCAAACTCTTATCATCTAGTCCCGTGTCTGCTCCGTTCTGTCGTACACCCAATATAATTTTCTGCCTCTCCGAATTTTGATCGGGGACCCTGCTAGAGAGCATACTAATTTTGGGCAGATGCCAGCATACAAAGCTCCGGAATGTGCATGGCCCAATACCCTGATAGCCCTTCCTATGGAGGGCGATGGTTTTGTTTCTTTTCCCAGCGAAGGACTTAAATACCCGCTCCAATCTGAGAGAATTGGGACCTCACAACCTCTGAACATTCGAAATGTATGAGGATGAGCAACAGCGCAGGCTCAAAGACAAAAAGAAGAGTGCATCTGTGCATACGGGTTGGTAGCCAAGTCTTGTCAAGGTCGGTGGTGTACGTATCGGCTGTCTCCCAATCGGCCCCTCAATATTCAACGATTGGGCTACAGTACCCTGCGTTATTATCCAAGGGAACCGCCCATGCCATAGTGGCCACCTAAATTGGAGATCTGTTTCTTCGGCCACTTTGCCGCCTCCAAAAGTACCGGAAGTCCCGCGAGTCGTGCATCAACAATCTCGATGGTTCTCCTCGACCAGCCCCTAAGAAACCAGTAGGTTGGTTCCATCACGCACAACAGCACGGCAAAATAAGATATAAGAACCATGGCGTATGGGTTCTTGGTTTGTATGTCCGCCATGATGTTTTCCGAAATCACATACGGCCAGAACATGACCATGCCCACCTCCACGTTGGTACCGGCGTGCGCCATGAGGTATACGGACTTCTCCAGCTCCATGACGGCGGTGGCATACTCATCGCGTGTGCCTTCCGACAGGTTCTGTTTAAAGAAGGCGGCGAGATATTCCAAGGCTTCGAAGATGTCTCTTGGTAAAACAGAGTGGCGAAGAGACGTGTCTCTGAACGGACTAGTTGTTAGCGTCTCTGAATTTCTCGTCAACACAGTATTGTTGCACTGCAGCTTACTTGTACTCGGGATCGCCTGGATCAACGATCCAAACGCCGTGGGCCATGGGGCCGAAGTTTGTCTTCTGGAGCCTGCCTTGGTAAGGTTCAAGAATCGCCCTTATCCCTCGCACAAAGACGAAGAGTGCTGTAATGTCTGGCAAGTGCTCAAAGCTGGTGTCTTTGTCTCTGTCCAGGCGCACTGGATCGGAAGCAACAAAGAATATAACTAGAGACGCAAAGCAGAAGAAGTTTTGCCAGTTGGTATCGTCTATAGTGTGCAATAAAGCGCGGAACGCTTCGAGTCCGGTATTCTGATGGGAACTTGCCAGGTCGAGATACTTGTCTCGTTCGGAGGGTATCATGTACGCTTTGTGCAAGGCAGCTACGGTAAGGATGCCGTGCATGACGAAGGAGCAGTCGTACCCTATTTCTGGCATAGTGACGCGCCAGACATGTTGCATGTCGGGGCGTATTGACATCGAGTTGGCAGTATGCAGGACATAGTGATGCATAAGCTCCAGGCCGTGACCCCAAAGCTCGATGGTCGGCGCTTGTGGTGTTCCTCTCCTGTGGTCAACGGCCACGTCCAGGAACTGATATGATGCTTCCGGGCTACGGCCGGCAACCGAAGGTGTGAAGGAGGAGCGTTGAGGAGCGATCACGGATGGCGAACCTGTCGAGGACGACAGACTGCAAGGGATGCCATGCCTGGTGCAGTTGAAGCAGGACGGATAGGCCTCATCACACTGACATGCGGCGAGTTAGTGTGAGTCCTCCCGTGTCGCATCGAGCCGATGAACTCGCCATGGCATCAGGACCAACGGACCCAAGCCCCTTGCCGCGTGTTCGGCATACGGAAGCGGAGATCGGGGGTGTCGCTCACCTTTACTTTCCTCCTCTTGCAGTCCATGCAGCCGTTACGGGACTTTGTATGGGAGCGGCGGGTTGCCATTGGACAGGCTAGGGGCTTGGACGGGGTCGCTCATCCAAGGTCTCAGATAAGATGAGAAGTCTCCGCGTGTAACGGTAGATCTTGGTGACAAGGGCGATTGGCTAAGTGCGTCCGAGCGGCTGGAGCGAATCAGTTCGAGAGGGAAGAGGCGGTAGATAAAGTACGAACACGCGGGTTCACTCCATTGAATAAGAATAAAACGGAGATGCAAAATGAGGGTTGAGCCAAGCCACGCAGCCACGCACTTGACGGAGCATGTATGTTGTCAGTAGGTGTCAAAGGTTGAAGCGGAACCCAATACGAGAGCATGAAGCGAATACTCGCAATTGCGGGGGCCTTCGTCCGCAGCCTTAGCGGGTTTCCCGGCGCTTGGTGCGTGGCCCACCGTTGCCGACACCGCCCTGGGCCTAAGCGGGAACGCCCAGCCGTATTCCGACGGCTACGATTGGCCCCGTACTTGGATACGGCGATACGTGTGGGATGCCCCATCTCTCGAAAATTCCACGAGACAGATACATGGGACTATGGAGGCGCAGTAATACTCGGGTGCCAGGCAGAACCAGTAGAAATCTTCGTTGAGCGGCGCGCAAAACATTTACACCTGCCGTTTCTTGGCCAAAATGGCTATCTTTGGGGTCTGGCTGCAGGAGCTTCCTTTACGATGGATCGCACTTGTGGGCTGCGTTGGGGATAGCTTGTTGTTGCCATCAACTGAAAAGAACTTAAGCATAAATTGTCCCTTTGCCCTGGAGCCAAAGCCATCCTCGTCCTCGTTCCTCATCTACGCATCACCCAAACGAACACACGTGGAGCTGTCATAGATCCACGACGTTTATTTCGACATCCTCTACACTTCGGCTGCGATTCTGTCAAGAGACGATACGACACGGCCGTTGTCTAATATCCGAGTCGAGCCTACAGGCCTTGACAGTCAGTCATTCTTTAAAGATCCGAAAAGATGGCGAGACCTTGTAACCCCGACTATGTCAACGCCGACTGGTCGTTCTATCGGTTCGAGCCGTCAACGGCAGCGGCCATCTTCTTCTGCATCATCTACATCCTTACCACCGGGCTTCATATGTTCCAGATGATCAGGACAAAGACATGGTACATGACCGCGTTTGTGATTGGTGGCGTGTGTAAGTTGAACGAAACCCGGGGTCGACGCGGTGGACTGACAGGAGCGATTGCATAGGCGAGTTTGTCGGATACGCTTCTCGAGCAAAGAACACATTGGAGAACCCCGGATGCTGGACTCTCGGGCCGTACATCATCCAGAACGTACTGCTGCTCATCGCCCCGGCACTGATGGCGGCTTCCATCTACATGATCCTCGGCCGAATCATCGAATTGACCGACGGTGAAAGCCATGCCTTGATCAAGAGACGCTGGTTGACCAAGATCTTCGTTTCCGGCGACGTCCTGTCCCTGCTGCTACAATCAAGTGGTATGTCACTAGTCCAACCCCCATCACTCCGTTAGACTTTTCATGCTGACTGCATTTAGGTGGTGGTATGATGGCTTCCGCTGGCGAGGGCAACAACATGATGGAGATTGGAGAGAATGTCATCATCGTCGGTCTCTTCGTGCAACTCGCCGTCTTTGGGTTCTTCATTGTCACCGCTGCGCTCTTCCACCGCCGCATGAAGCTGGTGCCGACTGCCAAGTCCCACCAGCCCGAGATCCGCTGGGGCTACTACCTCCTGACGCTCTACGTCACCAGCGTCCTCATCTGGGTTCGAAGCGTCTTTCGTGTCATTGAGTACCTGGAGGGCAACAAGGGCCACCTCATGACCAACGAGGTGTACGTGTACATCTTCGACGCGACGCTCATGTTCCTCGTCATGGTGTGGATGAACTGGTTCCACCCGAGCGAGATTGGGCTGCTGCTCCGCGGTGACCGGCCCATCAAGAACGGGCTCGAGCTCGTCATGATGGGGAGGAAGTTTGGCAAGATTCACAACGAAAGCAGCAGCATGAGCGCATAGAGGGATGCGGCGTATGGGTCATGGAGACTCGATAATAGCATATGCTTCTGGGTCAGGCCTGAGAGGCTTGATGGACGTTGGCAGCGGCCCCGGGATGGTCATAGCGTGTGGGTGTAATTAACGTGGGACAGATCTCTCGGGATGGAATGTTTCGTATGTCAAGGCATGAAGGGTTGCTTCAGAGGATTTTGAATTATCAAGGAAGCAGTAGGCGGGTTCCTCTCGCGATGCAACTAGCATCGTGATCGAGATTAGCGCATAGAATATCATGAGTGGAGTGGCTTGGAGTATCAGTCACCTGTTGTATCAATCTCCAAATCGGTGATAGGAGTCTGGAAGAAGAAGAAGAAGAGATTGCTTGGCACACAAAATGCGAAAAGGCGGAGGAACTCACAATCGTCATACACCAAGGCTTTGCGGGCGTAGGTTCAAGCGTTTAAGGGTTTCGGGTACCTAGTGTCTTATCGTTATCGGAGAAATGCAACGATAAGGACCCTTGCCTTACTTAAGCGAAACGGAGCACATCTAGGTAGGCGAGGGAACCTCCGCCGCGGGGCAGCGGATCTGCAGATGGCAGGGTGTCCCGGGGGCCCGAGAACAGGCACAGGTGCTATATAATCGTCGGCATCGACCCCGCAGCAGCTCACTGATAGGCGGGAGCTCCAGCGAACAGCAGCAGTTGGTTCCCAGGTACACTGGCCGAATGGATGGGAGCTCTGGGCAAGACCAATGAGCACATGCACATTCGGGTCCCCCAGCTGTAGCCTGGCAGTCAATCAATCAGTCGCCTCACCTCCCGCGTCTCCGTCCTCCCACCTCTACCTCTCTCTTATGGTGTGTATGGTGTGCATGGTTTGCCTCGACCAGGAAACTGTTGAGGCCTGCTCTTTCCATCGGCACCCATCAACCTGAGGCTCTTGTCGCCTTCCTTCTTCCTCTCACTCGCTTTCCTCTACCGGAAGCCGGATCAGGCTGCACATTCCACCGACCTTTCCACGTCATCTTTGCCTCGCCGCATCGGGAGTTACTTAGGCAATTCTCGTCGTCGCTTGCTGCATATCAACTCCTGCCATCAGGAAGCGACGCGTTTGCCTTGGTCCGCCATTCTAGATAATCTCTCTCCCTCTCTCCCCAACAGATTGGCTGGACTGCTAAAGGTACTGCCTCCATTCTTCCACCGCGACGTATCGTTCCTCTGTCTCACCTGCAAGGACTGATATCTTGTTGCAAGGATCGTTGTCATTGACTCGTATCGTCGACCTCCACCATCAAACGTTGCAGCATCCATCTCGATAAGCCATTCCCTATACACTGCAGCTTCCGCAGAACAACGGCGACACCGCAGCCAGCATGGCTGAACGCAAGAGCCCCGCCAAGCAAGACCTCGACGACTGGGAGGAGGTCGCTGACAATTATTCCGTCGTGTCCCTCTCATCTTCCGATGAGGACGAGGACACCGCCCCGGCCACATCGTCGTCGAAGGCGCCCCGCGATGCCCCTCCCGATTACACAGAGAGCCGGGAGAAGAAGCCACCCAATACACCTACGAGTCTTTCTCAGCCCGCACCAAGTCGATGCTCGTCATCAGAGGCGGCCAAGAACACCTCTCGCGCCGCGGCACCCTTCAACCGGTTTGTAACCTCTTCCCCATCGACCGCCGCTCCCGATCAAGCCTTAGGACAGGGATCGCCTATTATTGGTACGATTACAAGCACAACCGAGGCTGTCCTGGCACTCTCCCCCAGCAACAGAAACGCGATGACGGTGGAGACCTCAAAAGAAGTTGGACGACATGGCGAACGCACACCTGCGGAGAGTGCTGGCTCTTCCGATCGCCATTCAATCCTTGAGTGGTTCGGAACATCTATGCGCCGCCAAGCCTCCTCACTTCCCATGCCTTACATCTCCAACGAAACAGCCGAGGATAGCTTCGAATCCACATATAGGCCATCCACTGACAAGGAGATGGAGGAGGCTGCTGGGAAGTTTGGTCGCTTGAGGATGAACTGCGGTTCTCCCGAGGACGGCGAGTCGTCAAGCAAACCTGAGGGTACGCTGGGCGAGACCCTCGATCTGGATGATTCCTCGATGGATCCTGTCTGTATTGGTAAAACACTCGAATCGCTGTACTATTACATCACGGATACTCTCCGCCGTACCGGCGAGCAACTCGCCGGTCTAAACGACAGCCTCAATGTCGCCAGCAGCTGTCACGCTTTGATGACGCAGATTAGCGAGCTTCGTCCCATCCTTACCGAGTATGCGAATCAATGGGAGAAGCCGCTGGGAGCGAAAGATATACCACTCGACCCTAGTCTCTCTTTGTGGCTGTCGTCACTGCAGACCACTGTCTCGAAGCTGCGGAGGAAGAGCAGACTTTGGACACGCCATGCCAATACCGAGGAGGGCAAGAAGGTCCACTCGGCCTTACTCAGGTTGGATGCCGCGCTGGACAACCACGTCAAACAAATGAACGACTTCTTGCCTATCATACATGTGTAAGTCTTCAGTCTATCCCCTGCCGTACGTCTTCTTTGAGCAAAGGCTAACGAGCGAAAAGCGACTTCAACGACTATCGGACGCAGCATATGTCTTTTCCCATCGAAGAGATCGATGAAGAGGCCATGAGTCCCAAGTACACAGATACCATTCCACCCCGGCGTACCGACCGCCTCTCCCAAGTTCGGAATGCAATATACTCCTTGAAGGACCAATTACAGAAGACGGTAGAGATGATGGCAATCTGTCAAAACTTTCTCCCAGAGGCTGCGTCGACTACTGCCTCCGACATTGTGCGACGTTTGGGGTCTACGTTCAATGCAGCGTCTCTCGCCTTGACCAACAACGGTTCCGAGTGGCTCGATAGCGACCTTGGCCGCGCCCAAATCGGATTGTTGTCTCATGCGGAGTTTAGCAATCTGGACCCCAGCACTCTACACGATTTCAAGGTCCGTCTGCAGCAGATCTGCAACTTAGTGTCTAGCCCTGCGGACGGCCATCAATGGACCGACGAGATGGTGCGCAGCCACTACGTGTATATGCTCGTCGAACAGCAGCAGCTTGACGCTCTGTGCAACATTGCTTCCATCTTGGAAGACTTGATGATGCCTAAGCACCTAAAGACCAGAACCGAATTTGATGATTTTATGAAGGAGATGTAGGTTTGATGATAACAGGAAATGACAGGACTGGCGGGCAAACGGATACGGAACGACAAGGCATGGTCATTGCAAAATTGTTAGCGTAGTATGCGACGGCGATAGGGGGCTAACTCCCTCGAAGCCCGCCCTCCACGCAGTGATACCTAAACCGATTGAGAATTTGTTGTTTTTCTGCGAGTTTACGGGCTGAACACGGTGTTTGGGATTGGCCGAGAGGTATTTCGTGCATAACATTGAGCGTAGAGTCATAATTTGACTACAGAATCTCCAAAACGGACATGTGGCGCAGCGGAGTTTGCTATGAAAAGTCTTTTCATCACGATGGCAGGCATGAGGATGTCGACAAAAGGCTCGTGATCCGACCCCTCTCCTGTGCTCCAGAATCCGCGGTCTGGTCTTGCGTGCACGTTTAGACGGAGCTGGCCAACCACAGCCATCTGAAGTACCGCAGCCTGCAGACATCGGCCAAGAAACCCCACTGCGCCCTTGACACAGCTCACACGCCGCATGCCTTGTCGGGTAGGAATTGAGGCTGGGACGGACACCAGTCTGGGCGCAGTCCGCAGAGGGCAGGGACGCTTCGGCGTTCCTTTGTGGCGGTGGTGCGCGAGAGAGAGCCCAGAAAGGGCTGGCGTGGTGGCGCGCGTCGCCGCTGCTGGAGATCTCCGGCCCAGATGTCCGGGACCCAATGTCGGTGTGCGCGTTTGTCAGCGGGCGGGCGAGCCATTGATGCTGTGTTACATCCGGGGAGGAATACGCTGACGGCGTCGAGCTCTGTATGGGCCGTGGCATGTCTCGGGCGTCTGGAGGTTATCAGCTTAATTGAGATGCCAGGTTGGCGGAATTCAGAACCAGGAACTCTGTGACCTTTTGACTTTATTGGGTTCGTTGGCTGGGTTCGGCATCCGGATTGGGTGCTAAATGTGGAATTTCTGACCAACCCTCTGGGAAGGTATCTTCAATCTCAAGTAAACTTGATGGCAGGATTGCTGACATTACTCTTCAAGTGGCAGTCGGGTATACAGACGCGTGCCGCAAGTTGCTGGCAGTCCATCCCTTGACGGCGGTGAGCCCGTCGCCCAAGACTCTCCACGGAACACCGGTTTTGCCTGTTGTTGGCATCTTAGGCGGACGAGATATCGATTGTTGCAGTAGCAAAGACTCCAATCATGCAAGTCGCCCGCACGCTGTTCTGTTTCCGTCTGGTTTCCGCGACCGAAGCCGCTGGGCATGCTGCGGCTCTGATGCTCACATCAGTTGTGGAAAGGGCCTCTCTGCTTTCGATTGGTTGAAAACGCCGGTAGCGTGTCGGGATGTCAGCACGCTAAGAGCGTTGCTGGCTAGCTTCGACGCAGACAGCAGTTGTTGGACAGCCCGTCTGCAATGCACAAATGTCCGTCCATCTAGGCTCCTCTGGCCACGCTACGTACGAAAGGATCCCACATCCAACGTCGGTACATCGTTCAACACCCCCAGGCTTCCTGGACTGTGCTGGTGGATTCTGATTCGCGAGTCCTCGAAGGACAGATCAGGCAAGCATGTCAGCAGCCCGCGATGCGGTCCCTGAGGGAGGCAAGATGGATTAAGCGAATGCCGGCGCCGGCATGAGGCTATTGAAACTTGGCCGCCGGACCTGCAGATATTGATATGAGATGGTGGACTCACGTGGGGACGATGAGGACCACGAGAAAGGAAGACTGTAGATGTAGATGCTATAAATGTGGCAAGCCGACGATAAAAGCTTTGTGGTTTGGATATCATTCACAGCCATCCAGCCAGCGGTCGACGTCTGATCTTCTTATCCGCCGCATTTTCCCACCATTTTTTTTTCAGTATGCGTGTGACAGTTCTCCTCCTTTCCGGCCTCTTGGCGTTCACCAACGCGGTGGCACTACCCGGGTCTGGAGATGCTTCTTCTTCTCCCGCCGTTCTAGCCCGGGACTTGGAAGCTCGCGCCCCCAACTGTCCGGATATCTGGACGCAGGTCAATGTCGAGCTCAACTCGCTCTTCCTCAGCGGCGGCAAGTGCACCGCCCTCGCGAGGGGCGCTATCCGCGCCATATTCCACGACTGCGGCTCGTGGGATGAGTCCCAGGGGCTGAACGGCGGGTGCGACGGGTCGTTGGTTGTCGGCGTCACGCCGGACGTTGAGATCGACAGGATTGAGAACAGAGGACTGCAGACCATCGTGGGGACGCTAAAAGACCTTTCTGCAAAGTACAACGTGACTGCAGCCGATATGACTGTCTTTGCCGGAAGTGAGTATTACTTTGTTTCCCACGCAGTCCAGTATACGAAGACTAACAAATTCGTCCAGACGCTGCAATATTCTTGTGCCCCGGCGGACCCAAAGTCAGAACCTACATTGGCCGAAAGGACAGCACCAACTCGGCCAAAGCAGGTGGACTGCCCAGCCCCTTCGACACCCCCGAGAACCTCCTGGCTCTGTTCAAGGCCAAGGGCCTCGACGCCGAGGCTCTCGCCGCGCTTCTCGGCGCCCACAGCACCTCCACGCAGAGTTTTGTCAACACGACGCTGGCGGGGGCATCGCAAGACTCCACGTAAGTAGAAGATTGCCGCAGGGAGTGGCAGTAGAAGGAGTGTGAGAATTGCTAACGCAGACTCTTGACACAGGCCCGGGGAGATGGACGTCAACTACTACAAGCAGACGCACGACTTCGCCACCACGGGCACCGCCCCCTCCGGCGTCTTTGTGTTCCCTTCGGACTCGAGCATCTCTACCTCGGAAGCAAGCAGCGTCGGCCGGTGGTTCCAGGGCTTCATTGGGGACCAGGACAAGTGGAGCAAGAGCTTCAAGAAGTCGTGAGTGGTTTGTTCGGTTCGCTTTGCACGTCCAGCACTGACACGAGATAGAATGGAGAGGATGGCGCTCTTTGGCAACGACAAGGGCAGCATGTCTGATTGCACCGACGCGATAGCCAAGCTTTGATGGCGGTATGAAAGTCGTGTCGGCCGTGGCCGCAATGGTTTGGGTTTTTCTTTCACTTATTAATATGAGTCTCATCTACCGTTCCAGACAACTGCTGTCCCGTCTTACTATTTTTTATACTGATATGTAAATCTAATTGTTATGGTTGGGGTGTGATAATCGAGAATGCGGTTTTACTGTTAAACCGTTTGGTGTAATATCGATTCCGTAAAATCATGGCTTGCGAAGTGAAGAATGTCTGTGGGCCGAAAAAGGTTGGACGTCCATATATATTGAGACGCACTAGACAAAGTACTTCTTAAACACAACATGGCATGATTTACGCACGACAAGACTTCTCACTGTTGGAGTGCAGCGTATGCTGGGTTTGATGAACGAACAGAGGATCATTTACCGTTCTCTAAAGCTCCCAGTTCAGTAGGGTAGTAATCTCGATCTCAGTTTCGGTATAACAGTTTGTTCTCCGATTCCGATGATTTATTCTTGAAATTAAGTAATCAGGTGCAGTTGCTTACAGTCAAAGATTTTGTCGAATATTTAAATTTATGATTGTCATATTCCAACCATTGATTATGTTTTTTAGTTTCACTTGAGGTCTAAGTTGTTTCTCGTTGAATGGTATCCAGCAGGTAACAACTGTCAAAACACGCAAATGTCATACAAGGAAGAACAACATCTTTCGCTATTTCTGTAGCGAGCAGGTTCGGTTGAGAGTATTTAAAAAGACAACACGGCACTTGAACTGTACCTTTATGAATGTGTTGGATCTTTTGATCGACATTGAACTGTGTCGATCACCCTTGGCTATGCTGCAGAAAGCAAGCTGCTGCTTCTCAATCTAGGGTTATCAATGCTGTTCCTAACTTTCTCTCTAGTATCCCTCAGTTTCTGTGGGAGAAATACGGAAGCCCATGAACTCAAAAACAGACAGAAAAGTAGGAAACTAAATTCAAGGTCTGTTAGTATGAATCCTGCTCAGATCCTAGTTCAGTACCTCTCAATGTTGTGAGATATGACGAAAGAAGGAAGAATGAGACGAACGACATATAGTCTGAGATGCACCACAAGTTTTCGATACGCACGTATTGGTAAAACACATGAAAGAATCTAGATTAATTGCCACCAGGAGCCATGTTGTGGTCGCTCATCTCCGTCGCTTTGACCAATCTCAAACTATCCACCTTTAAATAACTCAAATCTGTGTTCCAAACACAGTGCAATGTCTTAGGGCTGAAGCCGCCTCCACGCCGCAGGAACAAGGAACTGAATTTGTTGGAACAATCGTTAGTCTTGATTCAAAATGCTTTTAGTCCAAAGTCAGCTACGTGCTGAGATGAATCACTGTACTCGCTGCCATGTCAAACTTGGTGTGTCGTCGGTGCATGTTCGCAAGAGCCGGCTACATGTAATGTCTGAGTCGGCTAACAGACCAATCAGGAAAAAACCCACAAAGCCTTGGACAACCAAGCTTCCGGTAAGTTTGCCGGCAGTCGCTTCCAAAAGCCCTTAATCTCGCCAGAAGACAAAAGTCTCACAGACCTTCTGTTCGCAGCTCTATCCAAACGTTGCAAAAGCGAGTGGTTAGCCCGCCTGCGGACTGCGGGAAACGCCGAGCCCAGCCTCAGCCTCAGCCTCAGCCGCATGGCAACGCCTTGATCACATTATTGAAAGCCGACAACATGATACCGGCTGGGTGGTCTCGCGAGGTGGAAAAACAATGGAGGGGCTCGAGTCGCGGGAATGGCTGGAGTTCTGTGCACAACCGGGCTAACCGAGTCACGAGCTGGGCAACCGCCATGTGCACAGCTCTCCCGCAATTTGGTTTTCTAGAATGGCCCGACCTTCTAATGGAAACTACCGCGAAGCGCTGAGATTGAGGGTGTTTGAGGTTGTAAGCATTGGGTGGCTACCGCAACAACCACAACAATCACAACAGTCTGAGCGGGAAAGGGCCTAGATCCAAGGGAGCCAAGTGATTTGACCAGTGTCATCCAGAATAGGGTAGCTGATTTGGGTCTTTGCGTAAGCTGAAAGCCATCCGAATCATCAGAGAAATCCTTCTGAACTCTTTCCAAGACACCTGCCAAGCTACAAGTGGTCGGTCTCAACGCCCTGGCCGCCTTGGAAGGCCGCGACGTTGGATCCTGCAAGGAGGGGTTCGCTACTGCTAGGCAGACATCTGGGCCAGACTTGCAGCTCGGCTAGCGCTGAGAAGGAAATATCCTTTCAAATTCTGAAGACCGACTCGGTTCGGGGGAGATTTAGAGGCGCGCAAGGGAAACAGCGCGTTCCTGTTTCAATCCACTAAGGTTGGCGCCATATCTGCACGAAAAAGCAACGGCTTCGCTAGCGCGTGCCGTGGCGGCCTCAGCACACGCCGTTGCTCATTTGCCGTGCAGCGAAATGCCCGCAGGACTCAGATCTTATGCTCGCCCGAGCGCAAGGCTAGAGGATGGGAGAGGAAAGAACCCAGAAAAAATAGCACACGGCGCCGGCGCGGTTTGAGAAGCTCCTTAGTCGTCGTCGCGGCTGCTTACACACGTGAGAATGTCATCGCTAGCTAAGATTATCTGGGGTATCTCAGGGGGTTGAGAGGCGAGTCAAAGCGATCGACGCTTGCAGAGATCGCATGGATATATAAACAATGCACATGGACTGTCGATCTCCCATCTCTTGGACAGCAGTCAACAGCACCAAAGCAGCCACCCGCCTTCAAAAGACAACCTCTTACGCTCTTTTCCAGCAACATTCGCTATATAACAGTCACTCGTTCAACTCTCTCACTCGTCTACATACAAACATTCAAAATGAAGTTCACCACTCCCATCGTCCTCCTCGCCGCCAGCGTCATCGCCGCCCCGAGCCCCAGCGAGCTCTGCGACCGTGAGCTCAGCACAGTAAACACTATCATGACCACCGTTCTCAACGGCATCCAGAGCCTCGATGGTTCCATCTGCGCCTACAGCGGCGGCCCGGGCAAGGAGCTGGAGGATGCCTCCTCTACCATGCTCACCATCATCCGCACCGCTACCTACAACGCTGCGTCTATGTTGGCTTTGACCATGGACGAGGCCATTGCCTTCCAGCCGCTGTCCGACCAGCTCAACGCGGCCGGTGACAAGCTCCTCGTCGACCTCAGCAACAAGGTTGACCTCTTCGCCAAGAGCGGCGCTTGCGACACCACCCTCACCTGGGTTGCCCAAGTCGGTAAGTTTGACGATCAAAAGACGTTTAGAAAGACAACGACTGAATCCTCCCAGGCAGCAATGTCAACACCCTCATGACCACCATCTCTACCAAGTTCCCTGCTGGCGGCAAGGGTGGTGACGAGATCACGCACTTCAACGGAATCTTCACCGAGATGCAGCAGAAGCTCTCCACCTGCTCCACCGGCGGCAAGGGCTCCGGATCTGGCTCCGGCTCCGGCTCCGGTAACGACGACAAGGCCGTGGGCTCCGCCACCAAGGTCGTCGCTGTCCCTACTGCTGTCGCCACTGCCACCAACACTGCTTACGGCAACGGCACCAAGGGTGCTTCGCCCACTTCCACCACTCGCCCTGTCGTTACTGCCGGCGCCGCCCTCATGACCTTGTCCGGCGCCGGCTTGGCTGCTGCCGTCGCTGCCTTCATCCTGTAAAGCGGCTCTGTGCGGCTTTCAACAGATAAAAAGGACCATGGGCCTGGTGGCCCTAGGATTAGAACTCTGCATATATGTGCCGACTTTCTTGTTTATAAGAGGTTGCCTACACATGCGCGCACCTCGATGAAGTCATGATTTACTTTCGCTGGTGGGGCCTGTTCTTGCAAATAATGTGTAGTCACATAGTCGATACCAACCCGAAACTCAATATGGATTAATTCACGCTACAAGTCTGGTCGCCCACAAGTCATTCATGTCGCGTGCTGCTGCGACTAGATGGAAACGAAGTCCTTTCTGAGCCATAACGTGACTAATCTAAGTGAAAGTAGACTACTCACTGCAGGGAAATGCTTGGCTGTTTCACATGAAACCGTGCTCACCCTGACAACATGCGCAGGGGGCTCGGAACTTGAAGTTTGAAAAAGAAAATATCAGTTACAGCCAAAACGCAGCAGGATGGGTGATCACTAAGCCGGATTAGTCTTGACGCAAGAGCGACTCGTATTCACATTGCCATGCCAAACTGTGTTCGGTATCAATGTCTGTGATTAGTGTCATGGTGATCACTTCCTTTCCAAAAATGGGTTTGAGGTCCAGGACTTCGTGAGTCTTTTATATTTATTTTTGTTAGCTCATGGGTCTCCGTCACAATCCTCTAGGTGGTGTCTCTGGTTTATCAAACATCGGAAGCTTGATCGCCATGAGTAAACCAAAAGCATGTTGTCTCGGAAGCCTTGGACCTGTTGGCAGTGGAAACCGTATGAACCTACGCGCTGTCCTCGCCCCGAAAAACGGCGCAAGACAGCGCGGCGTCCTAGCTAAGTAGAGCAACGAGAAGGCCTATATTTGCCTGAAGTTGAACAACAATAAAACTATGGAACGTTTTCATACCATAACCTCAAATGTCATGCAAGCCCAGAAGACTTTTTGATGGACTGGTCGGCACCTCACAAGGGATTTCGCCATTTTCACCGCTTACAACGCCATTAGTAGCAGGTTCAAACCTGATCGTCGGCTTCTTCTGTTCGTTTCAATGAGTGCAGCTCAATGTTTCTCACTTTGTCTCACTCAGGTTCGAACTCGTCGCATCCACAACAGAAACATCACATGATATTGATACATGGGGACAGACAACTAATCTCCCATACTACATACAGGTTTCACTCTGCAGCATTGCTGGCGCAGGTCCAAGGCTTTGAACCCGAACCCCCCTTGGCAATGGATTCGATTGAAACCCAGAGTCCAAGAACGCAAATCAGAATTCCCACAAGCAAAAGCAGCGATGTGGCCACAAACCGGCATCTCTGCTTCCAGCTGCTAAACCAGTTGCCTTTATGCATCCAGAGCCAGAAGATTCCCGGTAACCCAAACGAAAACCAACTGGCAAACGCGGCGGAGACAAGACCGAGCAGGTTGTTGAAGACGGGAATGGATTCAGATATAACCATGCCAATGCCCCATATGCCCAGTGTGATCAGCAGCCAGGCGATAGTCGATGTTCTTGTTCTTCTCACGACGTGCTTGGTGTTGCCAAAGATGCGCGTGAAGACGTACTGCGACGCAACATGCGCGTATATCACCGCAGCGATCGCAATCGTGGGAATCGCAACTCCCCAAATGGCTTTGCGAATGGTGGCACTGCCTGCTGCCGAAAGTGCGGGAGATGGCACGTCAGGCCCAACATAAACGTAAATGCTGACTGCGGCAATGATGTAAAGCGTCGTATCCGTGATCTGCAGAAATGCAAGTGCCTTAGGCCAGTCATCTGGGTTCTTGAACTCGGCAATGACGCTGAAAAAGATGGCATGGCTCGCTGAAAGAACAAGTTAACAAAAAGTGAAACCTTTAACTTCGTGATCCAGCGGGCCACTTACAAAAAGCACCGGCAATATTGGTGACCGCAAGGAAAGCAGGAGAAAAGCCGAGGGATTTGAAGACGTCGATCGATCCACTTCCGATAGGCTTTTCAATCGCTACGTCAACGACTGTAATGAAAACAGCCACCACGATGGAGACGCAAGCTTGGATAGTATCAGAAATCATGTAGATGGCATCACTGATAGCAAGGAAGACTCACATGTCGCCGACATCCAACTTGTCCACTTCAAAGTTCTCGGGATATTGAACACCCAGAAAACCAACATGCCCACAGCCGCCCAGACGACCGTGCAGGTTGTGCTGTTCGTAAGGGTGTTCATGCAAATCGTCCACAAGAGAATGTGGCCACCCATCAAAAAGACTTGAAGAATAGTTTGGGCCCAGCCAAAAACCTCTTTAAAGACAACTCCCATGCCGATCGGTCGTCCAAGAAGCTCGACCGCATCGCCAAAATTTTGGACGAAGGGGTACTGTTTCCGAAATTCGGCGAGGAGAAGGCCAGAGTAGGTGGCTAGGGCGCTGATCACACATATGAGGATGACACCGGGGACGAGGCCAACCGTAGCAAGAACAGACGGAAGGGAAAGAATTCCTAGGGACACAGTCTCTGCAACCAGCAAGATCCCCCCTTGCCTATGGCGAGGTCAGTATGTCTCAAGCAAATTGATACCAAGTTGGACAACTCACAGCCAGTGCAGAGTCTTGAAATTGATCAGTTCGCCCTCCTCCATCTCGGCGACGCCGCTGGTCTGCCTCGGAAAGGCTTGTGGCGCGCTGGAATCGTGGTTGTGTTCACGGCTCTTGGATTGGGGAGGACGGATAGAGACGTCCTGACGCTCGGGTCTACAAGTGCGCCCCCGTTTTGGTCTCATTGCCCATGATGAGTATGTTGGGTTATGATTTGGGGTAGAGACCAGTAGGAGCCGAATGGCGCAGGATCGATCGTGATTCCCTCACTAGTCGGCCTTCCAGACCGCGGAGAAGGTGGAATCGTTTGCGCTCGGTGGAGCGCTTGAAATCGACGACAGCGAATTCAAGAGGGCAACATGAGATGCAGGTCGGCTGGGTGGAGAAGTAGGCTCTTTCATGCAGCTTTTAGCTTTGAGGGGCCCCGGATTATGTGTAGATGAACGGTTCTCGTCTGCCTATGGTCAAGGGGAGACTGTTTTAAAGAAACGACATTCGCAATTCCTCCCATCTCTTTGCGTTTGGATTGACTCACCTCGCGGCTCCTCCCGCGCCACCTGACAATCAAAGCGAAAATCATTATCGGTGCCGGTTGTTCTGACACGATTGGTGATGGGCAGGTGTTACTGAATCTGGAACCTCCGCTTGAATATGGGACGGCAGACGAAAATTCAGCAGTTGTTGTTACGTTTTCTAATCCACTTTTGGCCCGCAATGTTCCATTAAACCCTTCTTCAGGATTTTTCATGGGTGCAACTCAGGCTCGGCTAGGTGCCACTGTCGAAGGGATTGTTACACCCTTTGAGCTTTTCTCCAATTTTCTACGCTATGGCGTAGGACACCTAATGACGTCTGAACCTGCAAATATGCCCTTTGAAGCTTGAAGTTGAATGATAGACAGGCAATGCATGTTGCCGAAACGGGTTGACAGATTGTTGCGTTTCCTTAAGCGATCCTCGAAGCACGAGTCATGCCATGACTTTATTGCAACGTCCAGCCTGTTGCAGTGAGTGTTTACTGATTGATATGATGTGACTAACAGTAAAGGAAAAAAGTTTAAAGCCTTGTATTTGCTAGTTTCTGAGACTTGCGAATTAAGTCAAAGCGTTCCCCAGAATATCCACCACAGTTTTTCGCGGTCCCGTGCATCTCTACTTCCTGCCTTTCCAAGGATGGTGCAGCTCGTATCTTGTCTAGACCCATTGACCAATTCATTATTTTCCATGTACCTAGTCTAGACTTTTGATCTATACCATTGAGAATCTCGTTGGCCAAGCGTCCTGAAGAATTGTCTCTCTAAGTACCGCCACCCTCCGAATCGTTCTGGTGACTCACTATGCTCAATTCAAAGATTTGGCAACACCCTTTAGGATCGAAAAAAGATAAAGGCGTATGAAGGGGCAGCGAAGGGACTTTAAAATTCCGAAATGGTAGCAGGACAGACACTTGTTTCGAATCGGGGACTGAACGGATAAATCGAACGACAGCACAGTTGAGGAGAACTTGAACGTTTGCAGTGAACATGTTTCTGTAGTGGCTTCAGAGCATACATAGCTCAGAATTCAGAACATTTGAGTTTAGTTTAGTTTTGGCTGTGTTCTTATCGAATTAGAAAAAGATTCTTTATATCTTCAAAAAGCAGCGGAACACCCCAAGTGCCTTTCTATTATTCACAACCATCTCTTGTTTCCCAAGTGAGAAATGTAGGCACCTCCACGACCGTTCTCGAGACTAGACTCGTAGATAACCTTCATAACATCTCCAACAGAGTCCTCTGGAGCCCTTGGTTTGGTGCCAGGGGCGTACTCGTTGAAAATTGCCGCCGTTCGCATGGCACCCTCCAACTGCTGCTGGCTCACTGTACGGAGGTTAGTCATAACCTTTCAACGGGAAACCCGCACTTAAAGTTTGAACTCACAATTGTCGTTATGACCAGTCTCGACCATTCCAGGACAGATACCCATGAAGAGGACTCCATCTCCAGCGTACTGAGCGTGGAACTTGCTGACTGCAATGTTCATCGCCCCCTTACTGATAGAGTATGGAGCGGCGACGTCAAGCCGGTATTGGTTGATCAGGTCAATGTCGGCCATGCCCGAGCTGAGGGTGATGGCCTTTTTGACATTTCCTTTGAGTACTAGAGGCATGTAGAGGTTGAAGAGGTGAATATTGCCAACGACGTTGACCTTGAAACAATGCAAAAGGTCCTCTTCAAGTTCTTTGGGGGAGTCTCCTCTGGAAGGGTAGGCGCATTAGTGAGTTTCTAGTGACGCATTCGCTCCATACTTTGCAATTTACTTACAGCTTGCCGATGGGGTCGTATGCCGACGAGTCAGAGATATATCCCGCGTTGGCGATAATGTAATCGAGCTTCCCTCCCGTGATCTTGGACACAATGTCGACGGAGTTCTAGTTGAGTAGAGTAAGCTTACCATTTTAGGTGTGTCAATCTTCTTTTCTTGATATACTTGCCTTGATGCTGTCATAACTGGTCATCTCAACCTCCACTATATGTATATTGGGTCGGTTTGCAAGCTCATCGATGAGTTTCTTCTCCATGGAAGCCTTGTTGCGGACGGTACCAATTACAACGTTGTCGGTGTCACTAGAAATCTGACGCAGAAATTCCCACTAGTTATGGAGCACATATTAGCGTGTTTTCTTAGAAATATTCCAGATATTGATTCGTAGACACTTACACCGATGCCACGGTTTACACCGGTCACGAGATAAGAAGCCATGATGGAGTTCTGCGATTATATAGATTGGTTATTTCAGGACAAAGACCTTTCTTCCAGATCTGAAGTGGAAGATCGAAGTATTTGGTGGTGGCTGTGCTAAGTAATGTGTAATCCTTCGAAGCAACAAAAAGTTGCGAAGCGGAACTACTTATATACGAGACTGTCAGTTAACTCGAAGCTCATATCACATCGTTTTGGCCAAACAATATGTGCCAAGGAACTTGATTGTTAATCCCAAAGAATCATCTCGGCGATCTCGCAAAAACTTACATCACTAAAGTCTATAATTATTCTGCGGCTACCTGAGCCGGCTACCAGTTTCACGATAGCCCCGCAAAAAGTTGCCATTGAATGGATGTGTGTACTGAGGCAAGGCTTACTATGGTGGTAGGTATGGGTATGTTTAAACTCCCTAACAGGTGGTGTGGAGACAAATCCACTTTGTAAATGACTCTCAGTGGTCAGATTTATGCTGGAGGTGCACAAGAACCTCGAAGTACTCATTCCTTAGATAATCGCAGATGCACGGCCACTTCTACCTCACAAGGGGGTTAAACTTTGGCCCGATACCATAGTACACAGGCAGATAGCAGTAGAACATGATTGGTCAATATGCCGAATCCTTCGAAATTAGCTTCGCAAAAAGTTGCCAACGGACTTGTCATAAGCCGGATGCTGCCTAGCGCTCTGCCAGCGCAGTATGACATGCCTCCACGTTGTTTTACCTGCCACTGGATGCGCCGGGGGTCTCGTCGGCTTAGCAATCAAACTTCCTTAGCATCATCCATCGAGCAACTATTTGCGAATTTCATAGATAGACACCGCGTTCTGTAATCCATCGCCTTCAAGCGTCAAATACACAAACAATGAAAAATCCAACGTCAGGCCGGGACGAACCTCCATCACTAAAGAAACGCTGTGGAACCTGCATAGGTACGCTTAATGCTTCTCAGTCATCACTAATCAGCGCTGCTGACAGCCTCCGTGAGAAACATACTGACGTTGGGTAACTGGTAGTTCGCAAAACTAATTGTGACCGCCGTCGTCCACAATGCTCAAATTGCATTCGATCAAGCCGGGTCTGCCAAGGGTACGGGCTTCGTTTATCTTGGCCCAGGGACGATGACCGGAAGCGAATGATCGTTAGCCGAGCCGGATATTATTTGAAAAGCACCCGTGCCACAGAGCCTTCGTCGGGGCAATTTCAAATGATTAATGCGACATCCTGGGACATTGAGGTGTACCAATACCTCACTACAACACAGTGCAACGACATCCCCACCTTAAGCTACTCTTTATCGTGGTCCATAACCGGGTTATCTGCAACAGAGCGAGATCTTTTCCAATTTTGTGCGTCCTCCTTGGGTGCCTCTTGTCTTTATGTTTTCAAGCGCTTACATGGAGACTATTCAGTCCAGTATCAAGTGGCATCCAGGTTATCGAGCTTTAGCAACAAACCACTGGGGCAGACTCTGCTCCGCCTTGCCTCTTCAAATGACTCGTTTGCTAGCGTTGCATTGCAACGCTCTCTACTAGCTATTGCATCACAGTATCGGTATGGGCCAGGATTGAGAGGGGAAGAACTGAAGCTATCGGCCATTCACGCTCTTGCTGCCTCAGCCGCTCAATGGATTCAAACTCAGACTGCTATTCAACATGTTGCAGCAGGAATGGCTCTCTGCATGTTCGAGGTTTGTCATCTACCAAGCTTTGACATTGTTCTTCTCTTCCAAAGCTTAATTAGCTCTTGATATTAGGAAGTACGAGCCAGCATGCTAACTCAAGCAGCAGACTCTGCAAAGCTCAGCATCTTCGAATCAGTGGCTTGGTTATTTACGGGCTGTAGGAAAGGTGATTGAAAGCGTCTCACTGGAAAGTTTCGGTAGGGCTAATGACGGCCCAATTCTGCTGGAATGGGTTTACTATCATGAAGTGCTGGCTCAATTCAGTCTGCGTCACTGGCTACGACCCAATATCAAACTACAGTCCCGCCTATCCCATACAGGATTGTCCTCTTACCGATTGGAAGACAGATCCCGGTGGCATGGTGCGACTGGATTAATTGGGTACCAGAAACCTGTTGAGCAACAGAAATTCTTCGAGCCACTCCATCTTCTATCCAAGGTAGCCGCTGAGATCTTACCATCTAAAGATCCCACAGTCCACGGAGAAGCATACAAGGCCAAAATCGCACATCTCAAGGAAGAGCTTAAAAAGCTCGAACTATCAAAGACACTCGACCCTGAGATACAATCTGCCGCTGCTAAAGCAGAAGTCTTTCGGATTTCGACACTCGTGTATCTCAGCCGTTCAACAGAACAAGACTCTATCTACCCTTCAGAATTGCGTCTTCTGGTGGACAGAGGGTTGCATCTCATGAAGAACATGAGCACCTGCGAGCGACCGCTACCTCTATTGATTCTCGGTTGCGAAGCACGAACGGACGTTGAAAGGCTTCGCGTTTTGGATATGGTGTTCAGCACTCAAGATACAGCCCCGGCTCGAATGCTCCACTCGATCAGAACATTGCTAGAAGCTTCATGGACACAGGACGACCTTCATGCCGAGGATAACGTCGAGCCTGACTACATGGAGAGGCTTTCGACTGTTCTAACCGCTAGCGAGTGGCTTCCACATTTCCATTGATTGGATGGCTACAGAAAATGAACATTTTTCCAGATTATTGTGCAGGATTTTCGTGAAGATTACAGTCAAACCTGAGTGAAGTCTTGAATCTGATATCTCTGACTATTTTAATCAGTCAAACTGACTGGAAAGCTCAAGACTGACTGTGGGTCAAGATGAAACATCCTTCGGATAATTCCCAAGCTGCGTCTTCAGAAAGTATTGAGAAATATGTCTCCTTCTGGTCAGTCAACTACGCTAGAAATGAGGCAGTACGTTTTGCTAGTGATAGAAGCAATGGAGCCAGGAACAAACTTTTTAAGGGGCGGTATAGAATAAAGAAGACAGAATGTGTAAGGAGCATTCATTCCCGGCGGCGACGCTTCGATAATACAAAGACTATGGTGCACTGCTTGTTCATCGTTGATATTCTTGAAGAGGAATCAAAGCTAGGACTACTCAACAGGCCCGTTGAAAATTCAGAGGTCAAGCTGCAAGTAATAGCCAGTATAGCAATCCATCAAAAATGTGCAATGTCCGGTATAGTCTTTATCAATGTCTGTTCTCTGGGCAGATTGAACCCGTAAAGGAGCATAATGCTACTATCGACAGGCGAATATGTCAATTTAACGATTGCAAGTCGTAATATTTATCGCCCATCTCGAGTCTAACAGCAGGCTACGCAAGATTGGACAAGAATAACTGAAAGTAAGCAGTACATCGTACCCAAGTGGAAAAGCATCGAACCGGTCCAAAACTTCAAGGTCGGAGAGTGAGGCTTTACACTTATAGGCTTGATGGAAATCCTTCCTGGTTGTGTGACTTTAGGCAGTGCACACGAGTAAAGATGATGATGATTGGGAATTATGTATTGATAGAAACTGCCTTTCCAAGCAAATAGCGACTTGTATTGACAACCGGCCCCTTTAACTTACATTGTACAGCGAGGAATCCGAAAGGTGTCTAGGCGGCTTGGCACAAACTTCTTTAATCGTGCCGTCCCCTTGAAAGTGGGCTTGGAATAGCATTGCTAACAAGCTTTAAGATTGGTGGCGCGCGCGGAATGCAATTTGTCAGGGAGGTCGGGGAGAATGGAATGAAGGATACCAAAAGATCTCCTAAGTGAGTTTGTAGCAGTAACAACTGTCGGCTACATCGCTGTAACTCCCCATTCATAGATGCCCTTGCCCAACGGTCCATCTGTACATTCTTCCAGGAACTCGTTAGTCGTCCGTAGCATCAGATTGGCGTACATTTACTATGCAGAGAACATTCACTTTCGTGAAAAAAACTGTTATACGTACGTAGGTAAGTGTTAACGCTTGTCGCATATGATCATTAAGTACTAAACTGCAACCAGTTGAAATTGAACAGCTCCCCACCCCCACCAGTGAACTTGAAATATAGATCCCGTACGCCCGTCGCGCCGCTTATGGGACATGTCACCGTGACCCAGTTCTGCCATCCGCCTGTTCCAACCACCGTGCAGGTGCCCGCAAGCGTCCCAGAGGTACTACCGAGCCTCAGCTCAATCTTTCCGCCACTGTTAGCTGAAGCCACCCGGGCACTAAACAGCTTCGCACCGTTAAGTCACCGTACCCACTTTCCGACCACCCCCCACTTCCGACCACCCAAAAACGAGGCTATCGCAACACAACCACCTATTTCAATTGACTATTGACGAGGGCCAGATGCAACTATGATACAGCTTTCTGCTTTACTAGGGCAATCAGATGCGCTGGATTTATCTGCGTCAGCTTCAGCTTTGCCAGCCTTGATCTAGGCTTTCTGTATATTGCTGATGTTGGCGAACTTGGTATTAGGGTCGATTTGAACAGCCTTCTTCTTCCTTGTTGCCATGTTGTTAACTTAGGCTTGGAGAAGCTGTATCTGGTGCTGGGTAGTAGCTAGTTAGAAGGACTGCTCTTGGAAGCCTTTTTTGACCTTTCTGAATAGTTAGCGTTATGTAGTTACACTTTGATCTAGCTTGTTAAATAAGTTTAGTTAACTATTAAGATCCTTTATCTTCTTAGGCGTAGACCATGTAATAGCAGATATAGCAGATTCCTATTTCTCTATACCCTAGGTATCCTAGATGCCTTAGATACCTTAGATACCTTAGGTAGCCTTATTAAGTGGTGTTATTAGTGCTATTACCTTAGGCAATAGCAGGGAGCTTATAAGAGGTCTAGTTATATTAATAGGCTATAGTCCTATACCTATCTAGCCACTTATAATATTGTTTTTTGTTAGCCTAGATAGGTGTGCTTGCTGATAATAGGATATAAAATGTCTTTTGTTAACTATAGTTAAATTATTTTACTTGTTAAGGTTAGGCTAAAGCTTTTTGTGTAACAGACGCTGACAGTGACGTC